CAATGTTAGGATCCCACATCGGGATCTTACTCATCAAGTGTGTTATTTAAGCCTAAGGACTCTCCCACCTATCAAGGAGGTCTTTTGGGTTGAGCTCTCCCTTGGGGTTGAGTTCTATTGACACTGACCCAGCGGTAGGCCTGTGCCCTTTGGGCAACTTCACTCATCTATTAGTTATTCGATGCAACACCCTCTTCCAAGGGGAGGACACACTACGAACTCAAGCAGTTATTTGATGCAGCACCCCCTTCCAAGGAGTGGACACTACGAACTCAAGTCAGAAGACCGACCTGATAGGTGGGAGAGCCCCTGGGCTTAAGTAGCACACTTGATGGGTGTGAGATCCCGATGTAGGATCCTAACATGTATCTATAGAATGCCATTGTGAACATTGTTATTGATCAAAATATGTTTGAAGTAGAGTCCAGTGTGAAATCAAAATATGAACAGTAAAATCTAGAATGTGTCATATGAAAATAATAAACCTTCAAATTCACATGTAACATGATGCATTAGACAATGTCAGTTTTTAGGATAAGGAAATCATTATTTTATTGCTAATGAAGAAATAAGTCTTCATAAATAAAACCTGTGGAAAATTACCTGATCAATTTCCTTTATTGAAGAAAATTACAATTCAAAGAATGTGGAAAAGTTTGTTGTTTCATTCTCAAGCCTTCTAAGCTTTTCCCAACCAGAAGCTGATGGAAGAATGCTGTGCGGCAGTGAATTGATGAAGGTAAGAACATATTTATCTAAACTCTTTGATATCATGCTAATTAATGAATGTTCTTGCTTCTTGACCTAAATATTTCTTTTTTGTGTAGGTCAATATTATCGGATATCCAGAGGGCTTAAAACCAGAGATAATTGAGACCTTGAGTTGAACAAAGTGTTTGAACTAATGAGCATTTTGCTGTTGAGATAGCACACAACAAGGTGAAATCCAGACTTGTTAATGTAGTATTTCACGAAGAATATTAAATAATTATAGTATCAGATTACTATGTAACTTGAAGTTAAGTTTTATTTATTTATTATAATTTTATGATTGTTCAGATTAGATGGAGAACAGAAACCCCCAAGGGGTGTGAATTTTTTTTTTTTTCGATTTATTATAATTTTATGATCGTTAAGATTAGATGGAGAACAGAAATTCCCAAAGGGCTCTAAATTTAAGGACCGAATACACCCTCCAATGGCCACACCCAAAAGTCCCTATCATCCCACTCGACCACCCAATGGTGGTTACTTGTTAGACTTATAGTAACTTGTTGTATTAAAGATTCGGTTTAAGTATTGATTAATTTGATGCTACTTGTTTTAGATTTTTTTTAGTAATTTGATATTAATTTTTTATTAGTTGGAGATTCGTTATTAATTTAGTGCTATAGACGATTATTTTTTAAAATTATTATCTTGATAACTATTTCTCCAAGTGAAAGTGACATTTTAAACAGTCAAAATCAAGTCAAATTGCAATTTCTTAGATGGACATCAATGGAGGGTGAATATTGATAGTTTTCGAAATTAGGGTACCAATTAGAGATTTGCTAAACCTAAGGTGGGAATATGTACTTAGGCTATAGTGTTTACAGAATAGGAATAAGGAAGTGTTTCTTCTTGCAAGATATTTTTTTTTTTTTTTTTTTTTTTTTTGCAATTTCTTCAAAGCTTTGATGATATTTAATAGGGGTGAGCGGTTCCGGGCATCTGTTGGAATTGCTAGGAACCGAAATCAGACTTGGAACCGGTTCGTTCTTAGCAAAAGGAACCAAGAAAATGCAGGTTCTGCTTCTGGTCCTTGATACCCAAGAAAATTATAACCCCCTACTATTTTAAAAAATTACAAATACACCCTAAAAGTTCACAAAATTCACACATACACCCTGCATTTTGTTTAAAAAAATCACATCTGTTTTTACCTTTCTCGTTAATTTCTACTTTCTTGTCAACCAAACAGAAACAATAACACATTTTAAAACCATGCAACAAGGAGATAATATTGTGTTACAGACTATTATTTTTTAAAATTATTATTTTGATAACTATTTCTCCAAGTAAAAGTGACATTTTAAATGGTCAAAATCAAGTCAAATTGCAATTTCTTAGATGGACTTCAAGGGGTGGAATATTGATAGTTTTCAAAATTAGGGTACCAATAAGAGATTTGCTAAACCTAAGGTGGGAATATGTACTTACCCTATAGTGTTTACAAAACACGAATAAGGAACTGTTTCTTCTTGTAAGATAATTTAATGCAATTTTTTCAAAGCTTTGATGATATTTATTAGGGGTGATCGGTTCTGGGTATTTGTCGAAATTGCTAAGAACTGGAATCAGACCTGGAATCGGTCGGTTAGCAAAAAGAATCAGAACCAGAACCGGCTAGTTCCAGTTCTTTGGTTCCTAGAGCCAAGAAAATGTAGGTTTCTGTTCCAGTCTTGGGTATCCAAGAAAATTCATTACCCCCTACTAGTTTAAAAAATTACAAATACACCTTAGAAGTTCACAAAATTCACACATACACCCTATATTTTGTTTAAAAAAATCACATCTGCTTTTACCTTTCTCGTCAATTTCTACTTTCTCGTCAACCATTTAGAAATCACAACACATTTTAAAACCATGCAACACGGAGATAATATGATTTACCTTCGCCTGAATAGATTTAATTGCTGACGAGAACTAGGGTGGAAAAAAAATAACCGAAAATCGGTCCAAATCGAAAAATTAGTTTTTTTCGTAAAATCGGTTCGGTTTCGATTTGAAAATTTTCCTAACCAGTTTTCTGGTTCGGTTATTAGTTCAAACAATTCAAAAAACCGATTAAGCGAAACCGGTTTTTATTAAAAATCCTAAATTATAAAGTATGAGTAATTTCAACCTAAACCTAACTTTCAAATTTCAATTTTATATCCGCCTCTCTTTTAACTCTTTCTGTCTACTACCTTGCTTTCTTCCTTTCAGCTTTCACAACCAGTAACTGTCATCGCTCACCAGTCCGTCTAAGTCAGCGACAATCTTCACAACATGTTAAAACTCAAGCCCAAGGGAGAGCCCAACCCAAAAGACTAGATTGATAGATAAAAGAGCTCCTTGATTTAAGTATCATACTTGGTGGGTGTGAGATCCCGATGTGAGATCCTAACATTGCACCCCCCCTTCAAGAGTGGACCTCCATGATGGCTTTCACTCTATGAACGCTAACCTGACGGTAGCCCTTTCCCCTTTTAGGCGGTTTCACTCATCTATCAATCATTCGATGCATATTGCACCTTAATCTAGCTATAAATAGCTCTTTCCGTAGCCTAACTCTCAACGAAAAATACCAATGTTAGAACTAAAGTCAAAGGGAGAGCCCAACCTAAAAAACTGTCCTAATAGGTGGAAAAGTCCCTGAGTTTAAGTACTACACTTGATAGATGTGAGATCCCAATGTAAGATGCTAACAGCTTACGTCTTACACCGTCTACAATCTGTCGATTCGGCAAGGTAAACATCTCTCTTTTGATTCGTCTCCTTTGGATTCAATGCAAAAAAGTAAGAAAATACCGCTAAGAATAATCGTGTGAACTCGTGGGAATATTAAAGGAGCCTATCGTGATCAGCAGAGAATTATGAGCTGGATTATACTCGTCTCCGAAGAGATCAGGAAAGCTATCAATGACAGCTGAAACAACAACTTAAACAAGTGGGTATACTGGATAAAGGAACCTGCAATTATTCTGCAGATAAAAAATGGTTTCATAGAAAAGGAAACGTCTTTGGAAATAGTTCAAATAAAATGTAAAGCAATGAATGGCAAAACTTGTAAATATAACATGAAGAAATGGTTTTTATTATGATGACATGATGTCAATTAGAAAAGCAATCATGAAAAGACGTATGCTTTTTCGTTTGCAGGCTTTTATGTAAAAGATTGTCTATAGATTGTCTTAAGCGCAAATAGCGATTAAGCAACAAAGCAGGAAATATGAGTATCAAACCGGTTTAAGTTTTGGTCCAATTAGTAACCGGTTCAAGTGAAAAATCAGTATAGTTTCGATTCAATTTTTCGCTTGAACCGGATTTTGGTTCCAATTCAAAAAAGTACTAAAATGGTCCGGTTAACTGGATTTTGTCACCTCTAACAAGAACAGTATATGATTGTACTGGATAATGGATTGGAGAATGTAAAGAATAAACTGGTTCTCAATCCAGTTTTCAGATTGATTCTAGTTCTTTCAAGGGATGAAACTGGTATCAAAATCGCATAGCTTCAATTCCACCCACACCGTAACCGCAATCAACTCTATAATATTTATGTAAGGGCCAGTCTAGTTCTTACTCTGAACCGATAGTCCAAGTATTCGTGGTTCTACCGGTTACCCATGCTGACCCCTTCTAATATTTATGTAAGGATTATTGAAAAGCCAACGTCATATATTTTCATAAAGCCCTATATTTCTCAGTTTTTTTTTTTTATTTTTTATTTTTTTTATTTTTTTAATATTTTTTAACAAAAGCAACCATTGATGCTATGATATACCCTTTGGTTAAAAACTCAAAACCATCTCTCATCTTACAAAGCACCTTTAAACCTCTTTCAACGCTTACTCAAGTCGTCGTCGTCGGAAGACCTACTTTTTGGCAACCAGAATTTTAAGAGCTTCTGCTATTTTGGACGAGGTGATTGGGTTCATTCTGCTATTCAAAGTAGAGTATTCAGAGAATCAGAGGTAATCACAATGTTTTCTTCTTTTACCTTTCTTGATGTATGTTTATAACCATCTAAATTAATCTTTTTTATTTATTCCTTGTTCATTGATTTTCACTTTCAAAAATTTAATCTTTTTATACAGTTAATATTAATAATCCTATTCATTTTCAGAGTTCTTGCAAGTGGTTATTGTCTGAGTGTCACTTCACATATCATCCTTCTTTTTGAGTGACAGTTCTCAACCATGTTTAACTCGCTCCATTATACACTCGGTACGTTGCTGGAAAGAATGAGGCGCATGTCGTATGAGATGAAGCAGATTGCAGGTCAAGAGCTGCTATGCTCAATTCTAGAGAAGTGGCTGGAAATCTTGAAGATATTCAGGAAAGTAGTTCCCGAGGGAAATAGAAGAAACCAGACCAATGTGGATGTGATCGTGTGGCTGTACGATGTCGAAAACGTGATTGATAATTTGAAGGACATACTGGATGAATTTGAGTTGATGGCTGCTCGTCAGCGTCGGACCACAGGCAAGGAAAGTTCCTTAACGAAGATCATCCCTGCTCGTTTCACAGGTTCGAATCGCAATGCTGTGTTGGATGGTGATTTGAGCTCTAACATAATGGATATAACTAACCGATTGGAAGAACTCGACAGGACAAGAAATGCACTTGGACTGAGAGTCATTCCTGGCCCTGTCCCTTCGCCATTCTACTCAAGTGCAACAGCGTACCGTCCGTACCCTGAATCTGTTTTTCCAAATGAACCTGCTATCTATGGCAGGGACAGAGATAAAATGGATACCATAATGGATACAGTTAAGCGATTGAAAGAATTCAATACGAAAAGGGATGCACTGGAAATTATGACTTACTCTGCGCCAGCCAAAGTGGTAATCAAGAGAGGACTGGATTCGAAGAGCGAACCTACTATTTATGGAAGGGACGAAGATAAAATGAAAATTCTTGAATTGGTGCTCAGAGATGAACCAAGTGATGCCAACTTTAGCATAATACCCATTATTGGCGTTGCAGGAGTTGGCAAAACAACGCTTGCTCAGCTTGTGTACACTGACAAGACAGTAGAACACTTCAAGCCCAAGGCGTGGGTTTCTGTTTCTGAGGACTCTGATATTTTCAGAATCTCCAAGGCTATTCTAGAATCAATCACTTCTAGATCCTGCGGTCTAAAGAATTTAAATGAAGTACTGGTTCAACTAAAAGAAGCACTAGTTGGTCGAAAATTCTTGCTAGTCTTAGATGATGTATTGAGCAAGAAGTATGGCTTGTGGGAAACTCTCAAGTCTTCTTTGATAGTTGGTGCCCCAGGAAGTAAGGTAATTATGACAACACGTGGTGCAGATCTTATGATATCAATGGAGTCCAATAATATTCAACCTTATAACTTGGAGGTTTTACCCGATGATGATTGTTGGTCTGTATTTGCGAAGTATGCATTTGAGAGAGATTGTGATGCATGTAAGGATTTAAATTATGTTCGCAACTATGAATTTGGGAGAACTGATCATATGCATAAAACTTCAAAATTAATTCGTGAGCAAATTGTTCAAAAGTGTAGAGGCTTACCCTTAACAGCAAGGATTTTGGGTAGTCTTCTACGCTCTAAACGGAGTCATGTTGAGTGGGAATATTTATTGAAAAGTGAAATATGGGATTCAGCTGATGACAGTGAGATTCTCCCAGGACTAAAGTTAAGTTACCAAGATCTTTCTTCAAATTCAAAAGTTTGCTTTGATTATTGCGCAATTTTACCAAGAGATTATGAGTTTGAAGAAAAGGAACTTGTCCATCTATGGATGGCAGAAGGTATTCTTGGAGATTCATGGGACAAGGAGCATATGGAAGGTAGAGGCCGCTGGATTTTTAAATATCTACTGGAAAGATCCCTTCTTCAACGATCAAGCTCTAATGTCTCTAAATTCAAAATGCATGACCTCGTCAAAAATATGACTCAATGGGTTTCTGGAGAAATAGATTTTAGATTGGAAGATATTTCAGGGGCAAATGAGCAAGCAAGAAAGTTCAGAAGGACTTCTCGGTATTATACTTGTGCTAGTTGTGATGGGTTAGATAAATTTGAGGAACTCTATGAAGTTGAGCACTTACGGACATTTCTGCCAGGACTCCTATGTCGTGATGATACCCATTATATTACTGATGAGCTTCTTTCAGAGTTGCTGCCAAAGATGGGAAAACTACGGGCGTTGTCTTTGGAAAAACAAAATATTACTGAGTTACCCAATTCAGTTGAAGGTCTGAGATATCTAAGATATGTCAATCTTTCAAACACTATGATCAAAAGGTTACCTGATTCAGTATGTTCACTACTGCTCTTGCAAATTCTACTTCTAAGAGATTGCTCTTGTCTCATAGAGTTGCCTTCTGACTTGAGGGATTTGATCAATTTAAGACATCTCGATATTAGCGGTGTCAATCTAATAAAAGAGATGCCATTCGGAATGGAAGAGTTGAAATGTCTCCAAATATTACTAAATTTTGTTGTGGGCAAAGGCAGAGGATCTGATTTGAATTGCTTGAAGAAATTAAAGTTTCTTCATGAAGTTTACATTTCAGGTTTGCACAATGTAATTGCTCCACAAGACACAGAGGACTTCTTATTAATTGATAAGATATATCTGAAAGTGCTGCTACTAGAGTGGGAATCTCAGTTGGATGACAGACGAAATCAGCTGGTGCAAGAGAATGTACTGGATGTGTTACAACCTCATGCAAATCTGGAAGTACTCAACATCAAAGGCTACAATGGCACAAGATTTTCAAGCTGGGTTGGAGATTCAACATATTCTAAAATGGTGGTCTTAACACTGGAAAGATGTGAAAAATGCACAGTCCTGCCTTCACTTGGATGTTTAGGCTCACTTAAACACCTCACCATCAAAGGAATGACGGGAATAAAAAGGATAGGTTCTGAAATTTTTGGAAAATATTGCTCCAATCCTTTTAAATCGCTGGAGACTCTTTATTTTGAGGATTTGCAGGAATGGGAGCATTGGGATCCTGTTAAAGAAAATGAACATGTTGAAGTATTTTCTTGCCTGCGTGAGCTTTCCCTTTTGAAATGCCCCAAACTCCGTGGAAAAATACCTGAACTTCACCTTTTTCAGTTTAAACTTACAATTCAGGAATGTGGGCATTTAGAGGTTTCGTTCCCAATCCTCCCAATGGTTTTGTGAATCAGAAGTAGATTGATGCAGGATGCTGTGTGGGAAGCAAAGTTTGAATAAGGTAAGGCTGTGTCATCTTCTGAAACTCTTTGATCTCTCATCTCTTTTCTTTTTATCTCAATAAATGTTCTTTCTTCTTGAACTAAATATTCCTTTACATGTTAGATATTGGAAAATCTACTTAGGGACTGATTTTAGTAGACTTGACCTTTGATCAGTTTGATGTTTATATACTTAGAGAAAAAATTCAGAACTGCTGTGCTTGCAAATAGGAAGGGAGGTTAACTAGTTTATTATTGCGTTTTTAAGCAGGCCTATCTAATTGGAGATCAGACTTCGGAGTGCTTCAGATGGGAGATAATTCGTTATGTGGATCAGAAATTCAATTGAAGGAAGGCAACTAGTGATGTCTAATATCTCTGTGTTTTTATTTGTTTGCTGAATAAATGTTAAAGACTATGTTTTTCTTTTTCTTTGCTAAGCACTTGTGATAGAATATTGTCTGTGTGTTTATTATCTTCTCTTTAGTAATGTAATAGACTCTTTTATTCCTTTCATTTCTATGCACTTTCGATGGATAGCACATTAAAATTATATCTTCTCTTTAATATTGTAATAGACTGTTTCTGGTTTTACTTGAGGGTCGTTGGACTAGAAATTTAGTTTTGTTTTTGATTTTATGATGATATTTTAGTTCTAACTCGATTACCTGCCAAGTGTGTTTATCCACTGTTTAACGACAGTAATGTGCAGTAAGAGATGAGTTGAGTTCTGGAGATTTGTATTTACATGTTGGTTTAAGCATTTGGTGAGAACACTTTTATTATAATGTGCTAGTTTTAATCTACCTTATTTCTCTATAAACTTTATAGCATAAAGTGTGTATATCCTCTGTTTGGCAGAGGTTTAATGAGAGACTTGAAAGTATGGTGCTGTAATAGATAAGATCAATTTATGGCATCTTGATATTACTGGTGTCAATTTACTCATAGAAATGTCATCAGGAATGAAAGAATTGGAATGTATTAAAACATTACTCAATTTTATTGTAGGCAAAGGTGTAGGCTTTGATTTGAAGGATTTGGAAAACTTAAAGTTTCTTCGTGAGTTTTACATTTCAAGATTACACAATGTAACTGGTTCACAAGATACAAAGGACTCCATATTAATTGATAAGAAGGATCTAAAAGTGCTGGTACTAGAGTGGGACTCTCGGTTGACACACAAGATGAGTTAGTGGAAGAAAATGTATTAGACACATCCAACCTCTCCAAAATCTAAAAGAACTCACAATCAAAGGCTACAATGGCACAAGATTTTCAAGCTGGGTTGGAGATTCAACATATTCTAAAATGGTGGTCTTAACATTGGAAAGATGTGAAAAATGCACAATATTGCCTTCACTTGGAAACTTGGGCTTGCTTGAACTCACTATTAAAGGAATGATAGGAATAAAAAGCATTGGTTCTGAGCTTTTCAAAAAAGATTGTTCAAGTCCTTTTAAATCACTGAAGACTCTTTGTTTTGAAGATTTTCAAGAATATGAGCGCTGAGATCCTGTTGAAGAAAATGAGCATATTGAAATATTCCCTAGCTTGGATGAGCTATCCCTTGTGAAATGCACCAAACTCAATGGAAAATTACACAAAATTGACTATCATTGGTTTAAACTTAGAATTCATGAATGTGGGGTGTTAGAGGTTTTGTTCACAAGACTTCTATGGTTTTGCGAAGCAGAAATAGATGGAGGCAAGGTGTTGTCCGGTACTTAAGTCTCTTACAAATATTTCAGATTTCCGTAATTGATTAAGGTAAGGTTGTCATTTTCTTCTTAATTTCTGAGTATACTACATGCTTAATCTTAACATAAATGAATGTTTATTGAATAGTTTAAACACACCTGTTGGATTTCTTCATTGCCCCAGAAGAGAATGTGTGATCTAGATCTAGTCATTACATTGTGATCTCTTCAACCATGTGTTGTTTCTAATTTTCTCACATCTCCTTGGCCTTGAAATTAATAGTAACGATTCATATCTTATATTTTAATCTATAATCTGTAATTTAACTATCTTATTATTGTTTATTTATGCAAGCCTATCTTATTGGAGATGAAGAGCTAGGATATGAACTTCAACTGGAGTAAGGCAACTAGTGATGGCTAATGTCTGTCTGTTTTTTTTTTCTATTTGATGAATAAATTCCCAGTGCACTTGTGATGGAATACTGTCTATTTTGTGTTTGTCTTAATTGTTCACTTAAACCTTTTTCGTTACAGGATTTTTTACTGTTTTTGTTAAGTAATGATGTTCAGTTAAACGTTTGTTGTTTTTTTTTAAGAAAAAACAACATATTCCCACCCAAGGTTTGACGAAATCCTAAGTTGGTACCACAGGTTCCATTTATTCCAGATTCTCACCCTTAAAGTAACGGGAAATGGTTAGATATAATGGCTCAGGGGTAAATCGGTCATTTCACAGAGGAGGCGCACATTAGCAGATCGTTGCCCCTAACAAAAATCCAGCGCACGTTAGCAACATCACCGCCGTCGTTTTTCACTCTTTTCCGGCTATTCTTCCACCCAAAAACACCATTGTCACCACCATTCGAACCTTCATCCTCCCCTCTACAAAACCATACCCTTGACAACCCCTCATCGCTCGCCGATCTCCAGCCACGACAGCAGCCACATGCGACTGGTTTTCGTCGGTGTCCACCGGTGAATGGCCACTAAACGGTTGCTGGGACTTAGGGGTTTTGTAGATTAGGAGACGCTGGTTGCAGTGGTGACATTGAATTAGATTTTCGTCGCCAGAATCCGGCGAAGAATGACGAAAACCTAAGCTTGACGACACCGGCGATCGGAGGGCCCAATGAGTCGGGAACCAGAGGGGTTTTGGATGACGGATGATGGGGAAGGTGATGGAGGTGACCAGGGGTTTCGTCGGCATCGAAAATACCCTAGATCTGGTGAAAACCGAGACGGTGCACAATCACTGAGGGTGTAATTGATGTAATTTCAAAATAAGATGGTTAATTTTATAATTTTAGTAATTTAGGGGTTAAAATATAATTTATTAATTTAGGGTTAAAGGGCATTATGGTAATTACACTTTCACTATCCTAAAAAATGTTAACAGTGTTATTTTAAGGGTGAGAATTTGGAATAAATGAAACCTGTGGTACCAACTTGGGATTTCGTTAAACCTTGGATGGGAATATGTCGTTTACTCATTTTTAATTTACACTATCCTTTAACTAACGTCCCTTGGACGTTACCGTTACTAACGTCTAATTAAATATTAGTTTGGTCTATCTTTATCCTATTAACATTCTTATTTGATATAGTATTACATGATATTTAAATTTTTCACTTCAAGCTTGTAGTAAGTCACTAATACATTAGTTCAACTCATTTAAGTGCGTCATGACGTCTTTGATGAGTTAAGCAGAAAGAGGCTAGAAGTTTTCAATATTTTAAAGCATCCATGACCATGAATATAGTCAAGCTCTGGCTCAGTCTCATCCTTGTCCTTTCGTGTGACATGCAGTTAATCATGGATCGAGATTTGGAGCGACTGGAGGAGCAGTTCTGCAGGTTGATGTCCCTTGGATATATCAAAATGGCCAATGTTTAAAGGTAATTCCATGGAGAGGAGTTTAAGACTTTTAAGGAAGTCATTAGCGACAAAAAGAATAAGGAGGAGCTAAAGTCAACAAGAACAAGGAACTAGACTGGCTAGAGAACGTGTAAAAGTTGGTTGATCGTGTGAAAGAAGATATTGGATGAGATTTGCTATCGGAGATACGTAGTGTTTCAAACTTTTTGGGTGGGAAATTTCTTAGATGTTTCCACCTTTCTTTATCAAACTCTCAATTATTTCTATTATTCTCTCATCACGCGCTTACCACCAACGGGAGAAATGTCTACGAAACCACGCCAAGTTACCAATGTGTTGGCTTGACTTCGGACCCTCACACCCCACGAGTAGCATCACATCAACACTTGATGGTTTCAATGAATCATGATGGACTACAAACACTTTGTCCCAAAACTCACATGGGGTGGGTGAGTGGGTCTACCATAGTGATCAATCATTCAATAGAGAAGCAGAAGTTTTTTCTTTTCCGATTCCCACCCCACAGTTGTTGACACTATCTACTTGTATTTTTTTCATTAATTACACAATCTATTATAATTACTCATTAATTGGTAATAATTAGCACATTTACAAATGTGGGTTTGATTTTAATGGACAAGTTACTGTTTACTTCATGACTTTATTGCCATTCACTCCTTCCTTATATAGAATAACTCTCCACCCATTTCTCTCGTAACTCTCTGGCTCTCCCTCAAAACTCTCTCAAATTTGATTTACTTTAAGGTGTTGAGGTACGTACATTACAAGTATTTACATGCAACTTTTATTTTCGGTTGATTTATTGGTTTATATTCTTGTATTTTTGTTCGGTTCAAATTTAGAGAAGCTATTAATCAATTTTAGTAGAGTATTTGAATTAACTAAACGGTGTTGCTGTTAAAAGACATACCAGTACAATCAAATCAATTTTAAAGTAGAATGCAGGAGATTGAGAGAGAGCAAGAGTAAAAGATTTGGTTAATACTTTATTTAGAATGCATTAATATATATGATGCGTTTGTTTTCCTATTTTTGTCATATCCTATTCTTATAATCAATGTTCTGAAAACCGGACTGGACCACCCGATCAGACCGGTTCAACCGGCAACCGACGGCAAATCCGGTCCGGTATATATAAAAAACCGCTATTTTGATTTAAACCGGATTGAACCGTGGTTGGACCGTCGGAATACTGCCGAATCGCAGTCCAATCGTAGCTAAACCCGCCGGATTCCGACATCTTTTGACGGAGAAAACACCCCTATTCTACGGACGGCATCTCCACAACCAAACCCATCCATTTTCAATCGCCGTCGTCCAGCCTTCGTCGATCGCCGTCCACCTAAAGTCTACGCGACGTCGAATTTC